AAGAGGATGTTGGCAGAAGGCCTTGACAGCCACCGGGCAGGCAGGCTGGGATAATTATCTAATTACTATGGCATTTGCTCAGACACTTGGCTTCTCTGTTACAAAGCTCTGCAGGGTAAACCAGTCATTATTTCATCAGGTTTCTTAAAACGACTGATTTGTATGTGTGAAATCTCCTGCTGTGAAACTAGATTCAGAGCTGGCTCACTGAGTCAAACTACAAGCTGAATGGGTAGCAGAGCCAGACAGCAAGCCTTTTCACTAGTCCTGAAGCTAAGGCCTCAGTTCCCTGAAGCTAGTGCCAGAAACACCCCCAGCAGGGACCCGTGGGCATGGACAGGCTGGTCTCGGAGCACAGAGGCAATCCCTTTGCAGAGGGTGAGGTTCCAGGACCAAAATCTTTGTGTGAGAAAGGGAAAGGGCAGAGCCAGTGAGTGAATAAAGGTCAGACAAAAGTTGGTCCAATTCAGGTAGGTCTCAGGTTGCTGAGAGAGGAAGGGGATTGACAAGTCCTTTCTGAACTCTGTGTAGGAATAGGAAAGGAAAGAGCTTATCTCCATATCCCTGGATAAAAAGTCAGCACCTCATCAAGGATCCCTGCTTTGGTTTCTCTTCCCCCAACACAAGGGACTGCAGGAAAGAAGTGGCCTGGTAGAGCGAGAGGTGGTCTTCAGGTTGGCTACATTTTCCTACTTAGAAATTAGGAAGAAATGCTCAGACCTGGCTGGTCCAAGCATCATGAGGAGGTCAGCTCTAGAAATACGTGAGGTCAGAGAGAAGGTGGCAGCTCCCAGAGGGGCTGAGAGGTCATCACAGAACAGTAGGTGTTCATCAGTGAAGAGTGAAGTAAGAAGCAGTTAGAGGGTTTTGAGTAGAAGAGGGGAGTGATTTGGCTGCTTGAGACAAGGTGGAAGGAGACGGGTCCTATGGTTTTGTGTACGTGTGGTCATTCAGACAGTGGGTCAGGCATCGTACACTCATTTCAGCAATTCTAATCACATTCGTTCTTGATCCATACATGGCAGAACCGCCATAACCGTCATCATGAGGACAGGCCCATGGTCAGATTGGCAAAAGCTGTCACGCAACTGGATCACTAAGATGGCCTTTGAAGCTAGCTTCCTTCGTGCCTCTTTTTCTCCCTCCCTCCCTCCCTCTTTCCTTTCTTCCTTCCTCCCTCCCTCTCTCCTTCCCTCCTTCCTTTCATCTGTCACCCTGTCTTTCTCTTTCTTTTATCATTTGGTGTGTACTGAGATGCTCTATATTTTGGCATTCTGAAGATCTTCTAAAAGCAACCTCAGGGCCTCCCCGGTGGCGCAGCGGTTGAGCGCTGGGTTGCGAAGCTGCCCGCAGCCACTGTGGCGCCGGTTCGATCCCCGGCTGCTCCCCGGCCACCGGAGGAGGGTCCCATATGGCGCGCAGACCTCTCCTGCCGCCCGCTGCTCCCCTCAGCAGTGTACCTCGGTCCTTCTGCCTGCTCTGCTCCCCGCTCTGGCTCTGGTGAATTCTCTCACCCTCCCGCGCTTCTGACTGTACCCAGTGCATGTATAAACAAAACAAACAAACAAAATAAATAAATAAATAAAACATGCCTCTATAAAATAAAAAAAAAGAATATGAAAAAAAAATAATAAATAAAAAAAATAAAAAAATAAAAGCAACCTCAGTGTTACCAATTTAGGGAGCATGGCTCTTAAACTTATTATGTACACAAGGAGCAAAGAAAAAGCAGATTGAGACTGTTCTCTGATGCAAAGATTTCACTACCATAGCATAGTACCTGTAAATCAGCCTAAAGAATCAAGGTAATATTCTCCATATACTATGTTGCTTGGTTATAGATATATAGATCTAGATATATAGATCTAGATAGATAAGTAGATTATAGAGATGAATACACACAACACACACACACATACACACACATATATGTCAATATATATTCAGTGAGGAATTCCATTAATTCTCCCCCTTTTTTCTAGGTGGATAGTTAGGTGGTCTTCAATCAGAGCGGACACAATAGAGGTAATAAGATTTTGGATATGTTGTGAAGGCTGAACTAAAAGAATTTGCTGATCAACCCAATATGGGATTTCAGAGAGAACATCAAGAATGATTCTGGGGTTTTTGCCCAAGCAAAAGAAGAATGGAGTTGCCTTTCACAGAGGTAAGAAAGAAAGGAGAGCAGCTCTTAAAGGGAAGTCAGGAGCATGACTTTGCACATGAGAAAGTTGGGATGCCTTGTAGACAGATGCACGTAGAGATATGAAGAGGTGGATGTAAGCAAAGCTAGACTCCAGGAAAAATTCTAAACCTGGAGTTAAAACTTTTGTCACCCATCAGTGTTGTAGAAGGTATTAGAAGTCAGGATGAGAGAGAAGAGGGCTGCAGACAAGCCCTACCCAGCTTTTCTGTTTAGAAGTAAGAACTAGCTAGCAAGGGAGAGCTAGAGGGAGGGCTGGGGCAGTAGGGGTACCCATGAGTAGGAGGTATTCTGAGAGACAGAAAATGGAGGTTTCTCTGGCAGATGCTGTCAACAAGTGAGGAAAACTAATGCCTTCGCCTGCTAATGTGTAAAGCAATTGTTTGCTGGATAACAAATTAGCATAACCATTTAGCATAACTAATCAAACGCTCCTTCTGTCATGATTCCTTTGACTGTTATTTGACTTTTTATGTGTTTATGAGTTATTTTCTTGACCAGATTATAAACTCTTGTAGGGCAGGGCTATGACATGAATTTCCTTGATTCCCCTGCAGAGCTGGGCAAAGGGCATTGCAAGCCTTAGACACTTGACAAACATTTAATCTTGTAATTTGCATATTCAACTAAAATAGCACATGCTTCATGAAATGTGGCCTGGTTAATCTATTTGGTAGTGATCTGTCCCTTCTCTGACCTGCAACTGCACTTATTAACTATCTCTCTGCATGGCCAGTGATCTTTTCATAGCTGAGTCTCGTCATCTCTTACTAAGGGTTCTTTTTCCTTTAATGGCAGGGGATGTGGCTCACGTCTGTATAGACACCAAGAGGCCTACAATTAATTAATTGACTCATGTAATCATCTACCTTGTGTGCATCTAGGATTTCACTGAAATAAAAAACTGAAGAAAAGATAAGCCACAGAGTGGGACACAATATTTGCCAAAGACAAATCTGATAAATGTTACCCAAATATATAAAGAACTCTTAATTAAAACTCAACAGTAAGAAAACAAACCTTTATTAACAAATAGACCAAAGACTCTAACAGATACCTCACCAAAGATGAACAGATGGCAAATGAGCATATGAAAAGATGCTCCAAATCAGATGTCACAGGGAAATGCAAACTAAGACAATGCTGAGATACCACGCCATCTACTAGAATGGCCAAACTCCAGAACACTGACAACACTAAATGCTAACGAGGATGTGAAGCAACAGGAACGCTCATTGCTGGTGGGAACAGCCACTTTGGAAGACAGCTTGACAGCTTCTTAAAAACCAAACCAGGACCAAGCAACCATGTTCCTTCGTTTTACTTAAATGAATGACAACTACATCCACACCAAAGCCTGTGCCCACATGTCTACAACACATTTCGTAACTGCCAAAACTTGGAAGCAACCATAACGTCCTTCATAGGTGAGTGGATAAAATGGTCATCCAGACAAAGGAAAATTATTCAGCACTGACGGGAATGAGCTATCAAACCATGAAAAGACATGGAGGAAACTTAAAAAAAAGCATATTACTATGCAAAAGAAACCAATCTGAGATTATCTACTTTATGAATCCAACTATGTGACATTCTGGAAAAAGCAAAACTATGGAGACAATAAAAAGTTCAGTGGTTGCCAGAGGTTGGAGTAGAGAGTAGAAGGGATGAATAGGTGGCGCACGATGGACCTTTTAGTTAAAATACATAACTCCATAATGATAGCTTGATGTCTATACATTTGTGAAAACACACAAAAAAGTACAACATCAAAGGTGAACCTCAATTTAAATTATGACATTTGGGTGATAATGATGCCTCCATGTTGGTTCACCTGTTGTAGCAAATGTAACTGTCTACAGGGGGATGTTGAGAATAGGCAAAGTTAGGGCTTGGAGTATACAGGAAATCATCTCAACTGTGCTGTGAATAAAAAACTGCTCTAAACTAACAGTATTTAAAAAAGAAAGAGTAACTGGGTGATAGTAAAAAGCATGAGGGAAAAAATTGCTATGCCTTTTAAGCAAAAATGAATGGCTATTATTTTGGCAAACAGTACAGTCTTTTAGTAAAGGTGACAGCCAGAAAAGACAATTTGGACAAAAGTACTTCCTTGTGATGCTTAAAAAACCATGACAAAAGATATTTTCTCACCTACTGTTTTTTCCTTTTCTTTAGTAGGCAAAGTTTTAGTAAATAGCTTGGAGAAGTCTAATTCTGTCTTCTAAATATACATGAAAACTACGAAATTTCGATAATTACTAGTCAAAATATTTTTGTCTTGGTTCTTTTAGCCAGTATTTCAGGGAACTCTCATAACTGTAATTCTGTCTTTTGCCCAGCGAGAGTAGCAAGTGTGGAGAAGTGAGCCTGAGAGCTGAGCTGGGGAGGAGGGCGGGAAGGGGTTCGCACAGACAGAGGGTAATCTCAGGCTGCACCTCCAGGAAGCAGAGCTAAATCCAGAGGCGCAGTCATACCTCCCTGTGCTGTTTCTCCGGGGAGAGCCTCCACCCAGCGACAAAGTCAGGCTGGCACTGGGTGGGCAGCACCCAGCCTGAGGGGTCAAGACAAGCACCTGGGATGCCACCTGCAGCTGGGAAGGGAGGCCGCGAGTGGAAGCGGAGAGGTTCCCAGGACACGGCTGTCCCCTTGTCAGGACAGTAAACGGCTCGAGGAACCCGCCTCAGGGGAGGGGGCGGGCATCCAAAGCTCCCAGTCATGGAAAATAATATTTAACTCCTTTTTTTTAAACGCCTTTTAAAACAGCGAATTCCAAAGAGCTAGAAAAGGCATTCACCTGACTCAGTGGCGTAACCAAGGCTGCGCTTCCAGGGACCCCGGGCCATCTTTTTGTCGCATGTGGTTATTCATGGTGTGGCAGTATCTGGACACTCTCCTAGGGATGAGGCATCGCAGGCCCTGCCCCCCGCCCCCCCACCCTCTCTGAGCTGCTTTGGGCGCCTCTCCGCGTGCCGACACCGTGCTTAGGCTTTCCTGGGGCTGAAGCAGGCAGCCGAGGGCCTGGGGCCGGGTCCGCTCCCACCCTAGCGGCCTAGAACAGGGCCAGGAAGCGCCCGTCGTGAGGGAGAGGTCGGCGGGAAGCCCAGGCCGTTGTCCCACAGAACCACAGGCCCCCACGGCGCAGCACGTGGGCGGGGGTGTCCCGGGGCTCCGCTTCCAGGGAGCGGCACCTACGCTCTCCACAGATCTGGGGTCCTCTGTGAGGGCGCTGCTCCCCTTTACACGACACCTGGGGTTACAGGCAGGCGTCCTCGCTGTCACACAGGCAGCCCGCGCCACTCGCGTTTACGACAGCCTGGGCGAGCCGGCGTCCTTTACGTGCGCTTTTACGACAGCGTGGCGTGGGTTTGTGGCAGCGGCGTGGGAGCGTGAGGAGCGACGCGCGTTCCTCAGGCCGCTTGCCACAGGCGGCGCGTGCCCCCTCGTGCTGGGCGCAGCTGTGATGTCAGGGCTCCCCTGCTTGGATTTGGTAGGTTCTTTGGAGGACCCTAAAAATAAGTGCTCGCTGAGGGTTTCTTTGCCTTTCGGGCGTATTTTGCCCCATCGTGGTGTTTATGGTATGAGGCCAGTTTCTTGTGGTTTTTTGCATATATGTTTATATGTTCATTCCTTCATTTTTTAAACTATTATGTTCTAAAGTATTTTTTATAGTTATTTTCAACTGAGGTAATATTGGGGTACCCCCCATCAGCTATCGCCGTCATAGTGTACCCAGTCACCCATACCCCGCCACCATGGTTCGTTGTGCTTCCTTCCTCCCCACGTTGCCCCCGCCCTCATAATTCCAAATTCATAAAATACTTCAGGATATTTGTGTATGCCCAGACAATAAGCCAAACTATTTCTACTGTATCGTTCTAATAAATAGTAGAGCCTTAGGTGAATGTTTGCTACTATAGATATTTTTCTTAGGAAAATTTCAGCACAGTTGTGGCAATGTAAGGTATCCAGATTTAACAGAGTTCAGTTGACCTCTTGTGACTATAAACCTATATTTTTGTGTTTTTAAGAAAACACGAAATTTCACAAATGCATGGTTAGTCCAAATAAGAGCAAGTTAAAATGTAAACACATATCTTTCTTACTACATAAATAAAATTTATCAAATGTATATTGAAACTTATATGTGTCTATACTTACACATAGAATATTCTTGAAAGGCTAAAAAAAAGGCTAGTAATGATATTTGCCTTTCTGCAAAAGGAAATTGGGCCACTATAAGATGCTATCATCTCCTTGAAATCCTTAGTACTTTCATATGATGTAGATTTTAGAAATGAAAAATTAGAAACAACATATATTTAATTTCCTCTAGCTACTTTTTTCCCCAATTACTTTTTAGTCCTTACACATAAGTCCCTCTACCAATGTTTGCTTAGTTCAATTTATTTTGACCTGCTGCCAAAAATAGTCCTATTGCCCTGTTTGGATAGTAAATAACTGGAACCCGTTTTCCCACTAAGTGTTTCAACACTGAGTGTTGTGGGTAACTTTGACCTGCTTTACAAAACCTCTCTTAGTGCTGCTATTACAGCAGATGTAATTGCTGAATCTGACCCTGCTTTTAGTTAGGTGAGGGTTTGTTCACAGAAAAGCCACAATTGTCACAGAACAGTTATCAGTCAAGAGCTGGGTCTAGACTGTCACCTGCTCATTGATACCTGCTTGCAAGTTCACTCAGATAAGCCCAATGCTTTCTCGGTTTTCTCTTCCTTCTTCCAAATTTCACTTACATAAACTGATTTATTTCTTCTAGGACTGAAAAGCTTTGGCTTGGATGCATAGAGATAAGCTGTGGAGGCCATACGATGCAGCAAGTACATCTCCACAAGAGAAAAGATGTAGACAGAAAGGCAAGTCTCACATGATTTCCTAAGGTCGTAGCCAAATGCAGCCTGTCCATGTGAAATATTTCCTTCTGGTGCCTTCAGGTTTAGCTAAGCCTGGTTTGCAGATTGTTACATGAAACCATGTGTATGAGTTCATAAATTTGACATTAGCTGATAACAGGTGGCATATGTGCAGGCACTGGTATTTAAATACTTTGGAGGACATGAAAAAGCTAATGAATACTGAAAAAGTGGTGAAGTTAATGAACTGGTGACTGCCACTAACTACCTCAACACTTATGTCAGGGTTTACCAGTCACATGAGTTTCTGAGCTTTTATTTACTTAAGCAAAGGTTAGAAGCATCAAGAACTGGGGGAAAGGGTGGATCTGACATGAGAACTCTGAAAAACATTAAAATAATTGCTATTTCAACATTAGTAGAAAGGACAAATAGATGACTAGACTGAAACTGAATTCCTGAGAAGAAAGTGTGCGGAGATAGCCAAACAGAGAAGGACCAGGTGTGAAAAATCAACAAGCTCTAAGCAATCTGAATAGAATAACCAAGGAAATAAGAATTGTGAGAACTGGTTCACAGCATTGAGAGCACTGGTTAAATGTGCCAAATAAAGTACATGCCACTGGCATGGAAATGTTTTCATTTACATGGTCTGAAACACCAACTCTGAGAAATGCTTTTAAGAGCTACATAAAAAGTACAAAATAAAAACAAAACAAAACAAAACAAAAAATGGTGCAGAGAGAAATTCAGGCCCACAACAGCATTTATATCTGAGGGGCCAGGGTGACTTACCAGTAGTGCAACTGACCATGTTTTCATACTGAATCAGTTTCTCACACTGCTTAATAAAAAATGGAACTATTAATTCAAAGGAAGTCATTTTCTTATATCTTTAGCCTTTTTTATATTCATCATTAACTCCTTGCAGGGACAGACTTTTGTTAAATTTTACTTGTTTTGAGACATATTTTAGTCATACATGCTTATACACATTTAATATTTCACTCTTACTTTAAAAGGGAAAGATTAGGAGAAAGACTAAGTATAGGGAATTCTTGTAGGGTCAAAGATGGTTTGTTTTTGTTTTGTTTGTGTTTTGCAAGTGCAGATAATATGATAAGCAGGGGCCAATAGGGAGGGTAAAGCCAGTGCTGTGGGAAAGGATGCTGGTGAACTGGCATCTGTGCTGCCGGGAGAGCCCACTGCTTTAGAGTCAGGAGTCCTTAGCTCCATGATGTAGGTTGGCAGATTTGGTGTTGGGAATATGTGCATCATCTTATTGTATCTGTACTCGCAATTAAATGATGAAAAGGACATTAGCTGAAGGTAGGAAGAAAAAGGAGCATGTTCGAGATGTGAGGAGAAAAAGATGTGAAAGGGTCCCTTAAGAGACATTACTCTGTCTATTTGAAAATGGTCTTGAATTTTATTTATTTATTTTATTTTTTTTTTTTAAAGATTTATTTATTTAATTATACAAGCACTGGGTACAGTCAGAAGCGCGGGAGGGCGAGAGAATTCACCAGAGCCAGAGCGGGGAGCAGAGCAGGCAGAAGGACCGAAGTACACTGCTGAGGGAAGCAGCGGGCGGCAGGAGAGGTCTGCGCGCCATGTGGGACCCTCCTCCAGTGGCCGGGGAGCAGCCAGGGATCGAACCGGCGGCACAGAGGCCGCGGGCAGCTTCGCAACCCAGCGCTCAACCGCTGCGCCACTGGGGAAGCCCCTGGTCTTGAATTTTAAATATTGTTTCAGGGATAATGGCGCATTGGGATAAAGGTGTGACATAGGCAAAAAAGGGGACTTCCAGTAGATTTTTTCATGGGAGTAAGTGGAAAAAATAAGAGAAAAAAGACACTAAAGCTATCTGTAAGGGTGGTTGACAGAAACTAAATGAGGTATAGGCTTGCATAGCAAAAAGGTGGTGAGGTCAGTCATTTGGAGGGCCTGGTACATCAAAGTGGGAGCACATAGTGGGCTGTGGTGTAGACTATGGATGTTTTGGTGGTGGGTATGTTAACAGTGACAATACCTGAATAGAAAGTGGGAGTTGGATGAAAACCAGGATATAGGGGTGAGCTTGAACTTGTGATTTGAAGGGGAGAAGTTATTGGTCATGACAGAGCTCATGAAGATCTGGAGAGAGGCTGAGAGGAGGTGGAGGGAAGATGGTAGGAGGTACATAGGTTCAAGAAGTGAGAGGCTTAAAGGTTGCACACATCATTTGCATGAATATTGGAATCACCTACAACTGATGTTAGAATTAGGGAAAGAGAAAAGATGTGGCGACAATGGGTGAGGCTCTCCATGTTTCAAAGACTGGGAGTAATGATAAGGCAGCACCATCCAGGATGACCTTGGTGGACAGTGAGGCTAGGTGCATGGAGATCAATATTTAATAAGCATGGAGTGGGCGGAGCAACATGGCGGCGAGGAGACGCTGCGAGTAAGATCTCCCATTAAAAAAAGTTAATAGGGAGGAAAAGCGGCAGGTCCCAGTGAGAACTGGGACACGGAAGATAAACGGACGACTCCAGCAAACTGCCCGAAGAAGAAAGTGGCCATAAAAGAGGACGAGAAGGGAGGGAAGCGCAGAACCCTGCTCCCCTCCCCCGCCCACAGAGGCGGCACTCTCCGACCAGCAGAGAGGAGGGAAACAACAAACCAAAACGGCCAACAAGAAAAACGGACACAGACACAGCAAGCGGGACTGGGAGTGGAAAGGAACTATTGTAGCCACCACACCCCGTGAACGGGAGCTGAGGCGAACGCTGCAGGATCCGCCGCGGAGGTGAGCTCCAGGCGCCATTAAAGAGAGCCCCGCCCCCCAGGAGGAGACCAGCACCAGCACACAGTCCCGGCCGCCCGGTAAGCTTGCGCGGAAAGTGGCGCGGATCCAGACCGGATCGCAGCTGCCCAGGTCCCCGCGCCTGCGACCTAGGCTTGCGGGGAGACGGCGGAGGCCCTCCCTGAGTGAGCAGGAACAAGGCGCCCAGGCAGGGGAGCGGGATTCAAAAGGCGCCATTCCCGCGCCACTGATCTG